TCTGGCATGAAATTTTATTTCCTGTTTGGGAAAAATGCCACAGAAACTTTTGTGAAGTTGAACTGCTATATGGGAAACATGCAAGTATGCGAGTGGTTTTCTTGTTTCAAAAAAAGGTGAAAGTCAATTGATGACAGACCTTGTTGTGGATGTCCACCAACTTCCCGAATGGATGAAAATGACAAAATTTGTGTACTTGTGCTCAAAGATGGTGGACTATTGAAGAGATGGGGAAGTTATATGGACTATGGACTATCTTGGAACTCCATTCAGTGAATTTTAATGGAAGATTTGGGAATGAGAAGGGTGACTGTGAAACTTGTGCCTCAGGTTCTGACTGATCAGCAAAAAGAGCATTGAGTGGAAACATGCCATGCTTTGAAAGAACAGCTCCAAAGCGACGCAGACTTTCCCCCCAAGGTCATTACTGGTGACGAGACATGGTGCTATTCTTACGGTCCTGAAAGCAAACATCAGTCAAGCCACTGGAAGATGCCATCATCAACTCATCCAAAAATAGCTTGTCAGTGAACTCAAAGATCAAGACGATGCTCATTTGTTGTTTCTTTTTTGATGTGAGGCGGGTAGTGCATTTAGAGTTTGTTCCACCAGGTCAGATTGTTAATCAAGCTTTCTATTTAGAGGTTCTGAAAAGATTGCATAACAGTGTGTGACAAAAAAGGCCTGATTTGTGGCAGACGGGGGACTGATTTTGCCACCACAGCAATGCAACTGTTTCTACAGCCATCTCCGTGCATCAGTTTTAGGCAAAACACAGCATGCCTCTTGTGCCCCCATGCACCTTACTCACCTGACCTTGCTTCTTGCAGCTTCTTTTTGTTTCCCCACATGAAGAGAGACATGAAAGGACAGCAGTTTGACAACATAAAAGAGGTGAAGAAAAAAACAAGGGAGTTGCTGTCAGCCACCCAAACAGATAAGTTTGAAAAATGTTTCCAAGAATGGAATTGCAGATTGGGCAAATGTATTAAGTGTAATGAAGAGTACTTTGAAGGTGATACTGTTGTTTTGCTAAAAAAAAAATTAAATACATTGCTTAAAAAAGTCATTCTCTTTTTTTGGGGGGTACCCCCTTGTATGCTATGGGGAAAAATAGAGTGAAAGAGCATTAAATATGCTGCCTCTAATTGATTCTTTCATCTTCATGATAGTATTTCTAAAGGAGAGACTCAGCTTAAATTGTTTAGCTTCAAAAATAGAAATTTTTTTGTTTTACAGTTCTGAAAAATGTTTTTTCATGAGTATTATTCTAGTTTTTCAGTTCAACCTGGCAATTTAAATCAGATGAGTCTATAATGACTAAATATTTTGTTAATAAGTATATATGAGCAAAGGGGCCCTGGTGACACAGTGGTTAAGCACTCAACTACTACCTCAAAAGTCAGTGGTTTGAACCAATCAGTAGCTCCTTGGGAGTAGATGTGGCCATTTACTTCCATAAAGATTAAATCCTGTAGGGTAGTTCTACTCTGTTCCATAAGGTTGCTTAACTGAACCAGACTGGATGATAGTGGGTATGTATGGTTATACGATGTGTCATTTCTTCATGTAATTTTCTAGGAGGTTAGAATAAAAATGTCTGCCTCTTAGGTTTTGGAAGATATTTTTTTTGTTAATTATGTCAAAGTCTTTGGAAAGGGAAAAACGCACATACCTCACACAGATGAGTATCTGTGCATTAATTACTTTAACAAAAATTTTTTTGAGTACCTACTATGTGCCGGCCAAAGGAGTCCTGGTGGTGTATTGGGTTCTGAGTTGGGTTGTAAACCATGCGGCAAGCAGTTTGAAACCACCAATCATCCCACAGGAGAAAGATTAGACTTCCTATCCCCCTAAAGAATTATAGTCTCAGAGATCCACAGGGGCAGCTAGTCTATCCTAGAGGGTCATTAGGAGGCAGAATTGACTTAAGGAATTTTTCTTTGTATGTGCCAGGCACAGATCTAGGTGGGTGGGATACAACAGTGATCAGGAAACAGCTATAACTCATGTAGCTTATGGTACATTGGAAAGCAAATAAATATTAAATGCATATATATAATTCCACAAATGAATAAATAGTGAAGGCTGCCTATAATTGAAGAGAGTTGCTAGAAAGGTGTGGTAGAAAGGAGTGAAGATCTCTGAAATTACCTAATAGTGGAATCTGACTTAGGTTGAGGAAGGACATTCTGAACTGAAATATGAAAGATGAGTGGGGTTAACTAAGCCAGGTGAATTGGTTTGGAGTGTGGGGGCTGATGAGAACATTCCACATGGAGAGAAGTGCACGTGCAAAGACCTTGTGGTAGGAGTAAGAATGGCATGACTGAGAACTTGAAAGGAGGCCTGAGCACAGCAAGAGAAATTAGACAGCAGAATCAGAAGGACCTGCGTAGAGAGGAAGAATCCACCACACTAAGAAGGATGTAAAGACCATTTAAGGACGTCCCTTTGTGCCAAGGGACGCTATCGAAAGGTTTTGTATAGGAGGAAAGAGTCTCTGGGTGATACAGATGGTTCATGCTAACGGGAAAATTGGAGGTTCAAATTTAACCAGAGGCACTCCAGCAGAAAGGGCTATCAATCTACTACAAAATCAGCCATAGAAAATGGCACTGGGCGCCATTCTACTCTGACCAATATGGGTTGTCATGAGTCAGAATCAACTCGTTGACAACAGGTTTATAGAGGAGGGAAATAGGATCACATTTACATTTTAGGGGAAATGGCATCAGAACACATTATGGGCAGGGACAGAAAGGCTAGGAAAGGAGTAGATAATTAATAGGCTATAGCAGAAGTCCAAGAGACGCTTACATTTCCTTAGGTAATGAGGAGAGAGTGTGACGACTTTAAATGTGATCGAATCTGAGGGTAATGTGGCTGTGGCGAAAGAGGGAGAGGCACGTGTCAGGGATGACTCTTTGTTTTTAAGTAAGCTTCTGCTTGGAGGGTGGTACCATTCACCAAGAGATGAGGCAGACCATAAATTTGCTCTTCAGCATATTGAGTTTAAGGTGCTTTGAATCACTCAAATGGAGATGATGAGTAAGCAGAAGAATATGAATTTGAAGACTAAGATATGCTCTTTTACTCTTTGAATTTGTTCCTTGCAAGTTTTTTAATTTAGTTGAATTATATAGGGTTTATGTTTATATGTGCATGTGTCTTTACCACTTTAGCTCATCAAAATCAGTCTGAAAGCTATAAAATGCACTCCCTAACCCAGGAGATTTAAAATAAATACTCTTATTTTCCTCTATTACTCAGAAGACAGTTACATGAATGTAAGTACTGAAATTATAAAGTGTGGACAGGTTATCTCTTTGTGTGTTCTTTGACTAGTCTCTTTCTCTTCTACTAGTTTACCTGGACAATTTCTTTCAGTCTCATAAATGGAACTACTTTTTATTTATGATAAATTATTTATGATAGACATTGTCCATTATTTATAATACACATTCTTCTAGGTGCTAGATATAGCGCAATGAATAAAAGACAAATACGAACAAAAATCCAAACACATATTGCTTGATTTTGCTGTTGATTCCTCTTCCAGGGGAAAAGATCTCAAATTGAAATATATTTTATGTTGTTGTTAGGTGTCATTGAGTTGATTCTGACCATGCTGGGCTGGCTAAGGGCAGTGGTAGTCTTCTCTTTCAAATACATTCTGCCTCAGGGCAAAGTTTTTAACATTGATGGTTCATGGTCAGAAAAATTGAGACTAAATGTATATTAAGATTCAAAGTGGATTTAAGGTTCCCACTGTAAACCTTAGCCTTCCGCAAACTAAGTACTCAGAATTTAAGCTCGAATATACTCCCAAGTTCATGTTTAACACACTTCTCTTCTGAGATCTTGACTTATGCCACTACATTGAAATATCCTGTGGGCCCATCAAACTGAATGTGCCTGCCTTAGTTTGCCAGTCCGGTTATAACAGAAACATCACAAATGGGTGGCTTTCACAAACATTTGCTTTCCCACTGTTCAGGGGGTTAGAAGTCTGAATTTAGGGTGCTGGCTCTAGGAGAAGCTGTTTACTGTTTCCTCAGGAGTAAACCTGTTTTAGGGGATCACAATTCTCAATCAATACCAGTAACTAAAATCAAGCTCCTTATCCTTTTGTTCTAGGCTTGCTCTTCTGAATTGTCTGTATGTTCTCTCCATCCATCCCTCCATCTATCCAGTAGCTCAATCCAAAGACCTGGAACCATGCTGAAGCTCGCCTCCTCCCGCAGAAGTTCAGGCTTCGCTCCCTGTCCTCGGTATTGGAGAGTTTGACGTTGGCATGGTGCAATACTTTTCTTTCGGCGTCTGTCCTCTTTCAATAGTGGTTTTCTCCTCTACTATGGCTTTAAGGAATTTTTCTTTCATGATTTATTGCACTATTTTCTCTTTATATTTTTTGCTTGTTTGTTTCTGCCCCAGAATACCGGTAAGACATACATAGGGTGTTCTTCTTAATGGTGTCACACTACTTCCTAGGTTTTCTTTGGAGCCCTTTGCTCCTTTTGTTGATTGTTTCTCTCAACACAGTTGTACTCCAGGGAATATCTTCAAGCACGTTAGTCTGGCTTTCCATCTGTCCTTATCCCATGTTTTCCAATTCTGTTATCTTATTACTTAATCGTCTGGAATTCTAGTTGTTGTAGGATTTCTGGTTTTTCTATTCTTTAGGTTGTTCTCTTGAATTTTTTCTACATATATTGGAAATATCTGAATATAATTTCTAAAAATTATATTTCTGGTAGTTCCTGGTCCTTTTCTTTAAAACATTCCTTTGGTTGTGAGTATTGCTCAGTTGTTTGTACATATTTTTCTTGATGCTTTGGTGGGGGCCAAAGCTGACTACAGTTTGGGTAGCACTGTGGTCAGCTGCTAGTGTTGCAAGAGGTGTCGGGTCATGTATGAGTAGTTGTCTTTGTCAGGTGATGCCAGAATGGAATAATAGAAGCAACAAAACAAAAACGAGAGAGGAAGAATAAGGGGGAAGAAAAAAGGAAAGGAAAAAATAGGGAAAGAGAAAAAATGAAAAAAGTAGTTTGAAAGAAAAGGAGGAAAAAAGAAAAACGGTGATTGGGAATGATGGGGGCAGGAAGGAGGACTATTAATTAGAGAGCAAGAAAAAAAGGTGTGTTTGCATAGATTGGTCTAAGGCTTTGTAGTCACAGTTAGGGAGAGCTGGGTAAACCACGGTGAAAAGGTCATGGCGCCAAGTGGACACGTGGGTGGTCATCGGCAGGCTGTGTGGGCCTTGCAGCATGGACAACTACACTGGCGAATGCTTGCTGGTGCTTTGGGAGGGGAAGCCCCTGGGCCTGACTGCTGGCACCATGTGATCTGTGTGCACCAGGCCTGGTTGCTGGCGCCACGGAGGGTTGTGCAGGGGCCTGGTGGCTGGTGTTGTGGACAGCCCCAAGGGATAGCCAGGAGCCAGGGGGAAAGTTCTGGATGTCTTGCAAATTAGTTGTCCCCTCGTCCCCTTTCTCTGCTCAATCTCACAACCTCTGGGAAGTAGGGGTTCTCATTGCCCTAACTGCCAAGCTACTCTTTGGCATCGCAGGCCACCTTATGTTTCCTTCTTGCCTATTTTTTCCAGCCTGTTGTAAAGAGGTCTAGTTGTGTATGTGTTCAGTTGGCTGCCTTGCCCTGGAAGCTTTAATTGGCTCATTTTAGAACTCAGTAATGGTTAGATTTAGGACCCACTCGACTCTAATGTGACCTCATTAATATAACACAAACATCTATTTTCACATAGGGCCATATTTAAAGGTACAAGCGCTAGGATTTCAGCACATATTTGGGGGAGAGGACACAATACAGTTCATAACAGTCCTTGGCATACCATTTAAAACTACATGTTTGTTTGTTGCTCAATGTTCCAGTTTACTTCTTCCTCCTTTGATTTTACGTACAGAAACACAGAGTGACCTGAAGTTACTTTCCCCCAAGTCTGGAAGGTTCTTCCCAGGACTCATCACTCATCTGACTCTTGCTTATTCTTCAAGTGTAAGCTAATGTGCTATTTTTTCCATGAACACTCCCATCACTTGCTAGCCTGTAGCCATTTCCAAAGCATTACTTACTCAACAATTTTATGTGCTATCTTTGAATTTTCTACTTAACTTTGGAACTTTCTGTCTCCTTTTCACTGTGAAGATAGGAACTATGTTTTATTCATGTGTGCATTCTCAGTTCCTGCCAGTGAGCCACACAAAGGACAACTATAAATATATATGGAACCCTGATGCTGAAAAGCCTCCTCAAGTGATTATACCTTAGTTAACATATTTGGCTGCCATTTCTCTGGAGGGGGCCAGCAGCGTCTGGGCGGCCCTTCCGGCTCTGCTTGTACCCTGACGTCACTGTCCACCAAATCACCCAAAGCCTTGTCCAGCCCTGGAGGTCCATCTGAGCCAAAAAAGTCGAAGCCAGGCTGTGAGTCCCCACCGGAGCTTGAGTTGCCTGTGGCCCGAGAGCCCGTGGTGTGCCATCCCGACCTGGAGGGGCTGCTGCAGGCCTGGCCTGAGGAGCTGCCCGAGGAGTTCTTCGAGGTGACCGTGGACGATGTGCGCCGACGCCTGGCCCAGCTCAGGAGCGAGCGGAAGCGCCTGGAAGAAGCCCCCTTAGTGACCAAGCCCTACCGGGAGGCCCAGACCAAGGAGAAGCTGGAGCGATACCCCAAGGTGGCTCTGCGTGTCCTGTTCCCTGACCGCTACATCCTGCAAGGTTTCTTCCGGCCCAGCGAGACTGTGGGGGACCTGCGTGACTTCGTGAGGAGCCACCTGGGGAACCCTGCGCTAAGTTTCTACCTGTTCATCGCCCCTCCTAAGACTGTCTTGGTGGACGACACGCTGACCCTCTTTGAGGCAGACCTCTTCCCTGCC